GCCCGCCACCCACCGACCACCGCCCCACCGCCCGCCACCCACCGACCACCGCCCCACCGCCCGCCACCCACCGGCCACCGCCCGCCAACCGCCACCCACCCACCCCCACCCCGGCTTGCCCGCACCACCCACACACCTCTCTCGTGACAGCAACCCCTCACAGAGATGCTGTCGTCCACCCGCAACCCATACCCCTCGGTGGTGTTCGTCCTCGGTACGCCCATCCCCATCCCCCTACACCAACACCCACACCCCCTTCCTACCTACCCCCACCCCCCTCCTCCTCCTCCTCCCCCCCTTTCCTCCTTCCCACACACAGCACTCACTGGCAACTTCTGCAGGCGGACCGGGTGCTGGCAAGGGCACGCAGTGTGCGCGTATTGTCAAGGAGTTTGGTCTGACGCATCTGTCTGTGGGAGCGCTACTGAGGGCGGAGAGAGACTCGGGAGCAGAGCATTCGGACATGATTGCGGCTATGATTCGCAACGGCGAGTTTGTGCCAAAGGAGCTCACGGTGGCCCTGCTGCAGCAAAAGATGGAAGAAGAGCCAAACAAGCGCGGCTACCTCATTCAGGGCTTCCCTCGTGCCTTGGATCAGGCGCATTACTTTGAAGAGCAGATCGCCGCATGCAAGTTCATTCTCTACATTGACTGCCCCGAGAACATCATGGAGAAGCGCTTGCTGGCTCGCGGGAAGACGTCGGGCCGTGTGGACGACTCGCTTGAGATCATCCGCAAGCGCATCCGCAAGTTCAAGGAGGAGACGCTCCCGGTCATCTCATACTACTCGGAGCTGGGCAAGGTCAAGCAGGTGGCGGGCTCGGGCTCGGTCGACGAGGTCTACGCCGAGCTCCGCCCGCACTTTGTCACCGCCCCGCCCGACGTCGAGGACATCTCGAAAATGCAGTCCATCCTCGACATGGACCCCATCTACACCGCAGAGCAGATCGTCATTCCGCCTGCGCTCCCGGACGTTCTCAAGGAATGGTCCAAGCACGTCATCCGCGCCCAGCCTGGCGACCTCCTCCAGTTTTCCGCAGACTACTTTGCCCGCCTTGCCGACGAGACTCCGCTCATCCTCTCTGTCGACCAGCTCAAGGCTCTCCAGCGGACACTCTCCACTTCGCTTGACGACGTCGTCTCGCGCGCAGACATCAAGCGCGCCTGCAACTCGGTCGACATCGAGTCGTCGGTCGTCGAGCACGTCTTCCGCCTCAAGGGCATGGGCGTCCAGGTCGACTGGCCCGCCTTTGTTGTCTTTGCCACCACCCTCATCGCCGAGGACCTCAACCACGCCGTCAACATGCTCTTTGCCATCTTTGGAGCTGACTCGGACTCGCTCCTCGACATCCAGATCTTCCTGCACCTCTTCTCCTTCCTCGCCTCGCAGGACGAGCTCGAGCTCTCGTACGTCGATGCCCTCTCCGATGCCCTCCGCTCAAAGGCGGCCGCAAACGGTGACGGCCTCATCTCCTTCGACGACTACCTTGAGGCCTCGGTCTCCCAGGCCCAAGCCCAGGCCCGCGTGGATGCCTGAGGTAAAACCGAACTCACCCCGCTCTTCCACGCACACACGCACACGTACACACACACGGACACGCAACCAAACACGCAAACACGCTCTTACTCACCACCAGGCTCTTTTAACAACAACCGCGCCTCTGCTTAGTCAGCCTTGGCCTTGGCCTTGCCCACCGTCGCCGAGCTGCCTGCCCCCGAGCTGCCTGCCCCCGAGCTGCCTGCCCCCGAGCTGCCTGCCCCCGAGCTCGAGGACAGCAGCGACATCATGGCATCAACCGCAGATGCAGGGCCCTCGCCAAGCACCATCGCCTTGACAGGGCCGAGCATGTTGAAGGCGTACAAAAAGGCGACCAGTCCACCGCCAAGCAGCGTCGTGACCAGGAGAAGCGGCGAGGTGAGGATCATCCACATCTCGTTAAAGCCGAGAACAAGGAGAAGCGGAAGGACCCACGGCGGAATGGCCGACCGGATCGAGACCGCTTCCAGCTGCTGCTGGGCGTCGAGATACGCACCGCGGAGGTCGTTCTCCAGCTGCGCCGCGAGCTGCCGCCGGGCAAGGTTCGAGAGCAGCGGCGTCGGTGGATCCGCCAGCTCGTTGGACGCAAAGTTGTCGAGCATGCCAAGCGCGGCAGCACGCGCCTCGCGGTACCGTGCGTCGATGTCGTCGCCAGGCTTCCATCGAATCGGCAGCCGGTCAGGACCAAACTTAAAGTGGTCGTCAAAGGTCTGCCGCAGCGCAAGCGGGAGAACCTTGACAAACTCTTCCACCGCGTTGCCGAGCACCGCGTCGACCCGTGCCGCGAGCTGAACCTGCCAGCCCTCGGCCGCCGAGCCGCTCGCGCCCATTCCGGCCGCAATCTCCACCAGCTTGCCCTGAACTGCCTCCAGCGCCGCGTTGCGGAGCTCGCGGAGCGAGTCCCACATCTCTGCCGAGCCGGAACGGAGCAGAACGTGGAGCTCGCCCTCCTGCTCCATGTGCGCCGTCGCCTCGGCCACCAGCGTGTCGAGCACTACGCCCACAAACTTGGTGTGCGCCCCGTCGAGCACGCGGGAGAGCTCGGTCGCCGCCTGTTCACCCGCACGGCTCGCGCGCCACAGCGGGCTCGGTGGCGCCTCAAACGGCACCGACGGCCAGGCCTCGGCGTCCGCAAGTGCCTCGAGCTCCGCCACACCACCCTCGCCTGCCGCCCGCGCCTGTGCCATCACTCCGACAAAGTCAAAGGTGCCGTCGCCAGCAAGAACCTCGGCCAGGGCCCGGGGGTTACCCGGGAGCTCCTTGTCGAGCACCGCCTGCGCCGCAGCCACGCCAGCGGCCGATCGCGCCACAAGCTCGGCTTCAAACGACGGAGCCGCCCGCGCCAACAGCTGCGCCTGCAGCTTGCTCCGGCTCTCGGCCACCACTCCAGAGTGGTAGAGCTTGGTCTCGGCGTCATACGCCGAGAGCGCGCGGGCCAGAGCCGCTGCGATTGGCTCCGTCGCAAAGCTCTCGAGCCCATCGAGCACGCTCCCTGCTTCGTCCAGCTGCTCGTTCAGCACTGCGTCGCACCGGTAGATGGCAAGCATCTCGCGCTCCGACGGCAGTGAAAGATCCTTGTTGGCCTTGATCGTCGCCCAGATCTGGTCGGCGTAGCGCGGCAGATCGATGGCGGCGACCCGCGGGCCGGGTGCCGCCAGCGCCAGCGCCCCAGTCTCCTCGTTCCGAGCATGGAACTCGGCGCGGAGCGTGTCGACCTCGGCGCGGAACTGGTCCTTGCAGTGCTTGTAGTGCGGGAGGTAGACAAAGGCAAGGTCAAAGAAGGTCTCAAAGGCGGCATTAGCAAAGGCGTCCGGCTTGGGAATCGACTCCCAGATCTTGCCCACGTCGGTGCAAATGATGTTGCGGAGCGAGTCCTTGGGTGTGTCCTCGTCGTAGTCACGGACAACAAAGTAGAGCAGCTTCTTGGGCGCCTCGCCCGAGGCAAACAGCTGGATGTTGACCGAGAAGACCGTCTTGAGAATGCCGAGATTGGCCGCGTCCCACCGGCCAAAGTCGGTGCACCACATGTTGACCATGAGCACATCCGCCAGAGCGAGCGAGAACAGAGCCGTCTTGCGCTCCCACGCCGTGTGGTCCTCGCCACGCTCGCGCGAGTCGTTGCCTTCGACATCCAGCACGAGCCAAGCCGGCTCGCTGGCATCACGACCGAGCCAAAGACCCTGAGTCGTCTGCGAGCGACCGAAGCGAGCATCCATGACGGCAAACGGAGTCCCATACAACATGTTGAGCAGAGTTGACTTGCCCGATGACTGGCATCCCAGAACAGCCACAATGGCATACTCATCGCCCATCTCGTTCAGCTTCCACTCGTTGGCCAGTCGCTCAAACTCGTCGGTCGTCTCACCGGCATGGTCGATGATTTGCCCAATGGCGAAGCCACCTTCGCTCGACACGTCAGACATGATGGTGAGAATATAGAGGTTGGAAGAAGGGGGGAGGGGGGAGGAGGAGGGGAGGAGTGAGGTGTGACCGTGGCCGTACTTGACCGAGTGGGCGTAGGTGGGTGTGGCGGGAGAGAGGGGCCGGAACATGGAGCGTTGGCCGCTTGTCACCGACGTGGCGCACCACGAATTTTGGCGCCGAACGGTGATTCCGACGGTCACGGCTCCGACGCTCCACGGCTCCGCCGCTCCGCTGCCATCATGCTGTGCGTGCGATTCATTTGCTCTGTGTGCTGTTGTTGGATCACCAACGTTTTTAAACGCGTCGTAGCCAAGGGAAGGGGCGGGGGCATCATCAGTTGTCGCCGGCGCCGGTGGTGTCCATCTCGGCCAGGCCCGAGTCCTCGTTGGGGCTCGGGCTGGGCCCGGAGTTGGAGTCAGGGGGGTTGCCCTCGCTCGCGCCGGCGTTGTCGTCATCGTCGTCCGAGTCCGAGTCGACAACCGTCTTACGCTTCTTGGCGGGTGGCGGGGCGGTCGGGTCGGCAGCAGGCGGCGGCGAGGCCGGCGGTGAGGCTGGCGACTCGGCACCAGAGCCCAGCCCCGATCCGGAGCCCTCGCCAGGCATGTACGGGTTGTCCTGGTCGTCCTCCCACTCGGGCTCGGGCAGGTCGTTGCGGCTCGGCGCAGCCTGTGACGTCTTCTTCCGCTTGCGCTTGCGGGTCTTGGGCGCGTTCTCCCAGTTCTGGCGCATGATGGCGAGCATCTTGGAGTCCTCCTGGATGATGGCAGCCTTTTCGGCGGCCTCGGCGGCGGCGGCAGCAGCAGCGGCGGCGGCGGCCTCGGCGGCGGCAGCAGCAGCAGCGGCCTCCTCGGCCTCGCGGCGCGCGCGCGCGGAGCGGAGCGACTCCTCGAGGATTTCGGCGGCGTCGAGGGTGAGCGACGCGTCCTCGAGCGCCGAGTCGCAGTACTCAATGTACTCCTTGGCCCGCGATGCGAGGTTGTTGGCGTAGAGGTACTCGTACTCGGAGCGGGCATGCTGGAGGAGGCGAATGGCCGACTTGACGACGGTGACCGGCCGCTGGGACTCGGGCAGCTTGAGCTTGGCCACGGCCTCGCTCTGGATGGTGAGGGCGAGGTCGAAGCGGGCGGCAATGTTGGTCGGCTCGAGGCGGAGGCAACGCGAGAGCATGGCGCGCGCCTTGGCGTAGAGCTTCTGGTCAAAGAGGGCGCGGGCGATGAAGAGGAGGATGGTGACGTCGTGCGGGTCGGCCGACTTGGCAAGCGCCGTCTCGTAGAGCGTGATCGCCTTGACGTACTGCTTCTGCGCAAGCGCGCAGTGGCCGAGGTTGACGTACACGTCCGGGAACTCGGACGAGGCCTCGCGGACCGAGTCGAAAACGACCTTGGCAGCCCCGATCTGACCCTTGTCGGCGAGGACGATGCCGATGCCGTTGGCGGCAAAGAGATTGGAGGCGTCGGCGCGGAGGACTTGCTTGAAAAAGGTGAGCGCACGCTTGAGCCACTTGGTCGTCTTGGCGTCCGACGGGCGGACCGACTGGTAGAAGATGTTGCCAAGCGCAAGGAGCGCGTACGGGTCCGACTTGTTCACCCGCCCGAGGATGTGCTCAAACGCCTTTTGCGCCGGCTGCAGCTCTTTCTTCTCCACGTTGAGCGAGCCACGGAGCGACCACGCGTTGATGTCGTTGGGGTTGATGGCAAACGCGTCCTTGACGTGGTCCGATGCCTCCTGGTGCCGCCCAAGCGTCCGCGCAATGCACCCGAGCCGCAGGTGCGGCTCGACGTACTCGGGGAACGCCTCGGCGAGCCCAGAGTAGAGGCTGCGCGCCTCGGCGAACCGTCGCGCGTCTTCGAGCGCCCGCGCCCGGTTGAACGTCACTGTCCGGTTGAGTGGAGCAAACGGCTTGTCTGGCATCCCAAGCGCGGCGTACGCAGCGCTGAACGACGCCTCGGCGGCTTCAAACTCTCCCAGCACGCCCTGCAGAATGCCGATGTTGTTGTGCAGCGCCGCCGGAATGCGTTCCGCCCCGCCCGGCCCGGCCACCAGCGCGTCGTACGCCTTGGTGTACGCCGCGAGCGCCTCGGCCGGTGAGTGCGAGTCGATGAGCTGGGCGTACTCGATGAGGGTCTCGACGTGGTCGGGCTCGAGCGCGAGCGCCGCGCGGAGCGCCTTAAGCGCATCGGCCCGCTTCTGCTGCCGCGCGTAGAGCGAACCGATAAAGACCAGCGCCTCAAAGTTGTTGGGCGCGTACTTGAGCAGCCGCCGCAGGCCGTCAAGCGCCTTGGTCAGGTGGTTGCGGTGGACGTTCATCTGCGCCGCGGCATAGAGCGCCAGCGGGTAGTTGGGCCGCAGCATGACCGCATGCTTGTAGAACTCGTTAGCTTGCGTGTAGTCCTTGCGGACATGCCACACCCGCCCGGCGAGGTATGCGGCCTCGGCCCGGAGCAGGCTGGCGTCGGTCGCCTCATACGCCATCGTCGCCAGCTTGAGGCTCGTCTCGAGGTCGTCGAGGAAAAAGTGTGGTCGGCGAGGTGGATGAGCACAATCGGGTTCTTCGGATCGAGCTTGTACCCGCGCGCCACTAGCCGCATCCCAGCCTCGACGTTGCCGTCATTGAGCTCGAGAATGGCAAGGCCGAGGATGGCCGCGAGCGACTCGCTGTCGAGCTCAAGCGCCCGCACAAACGCGGCCTTGGCCTTGGGCACCTTGTCGAGCTTGAGGTAGCAGAGCGCCATACGGACCCGGATGTGCGCGCCAAGCTGTGGCCGGAGCACCAGCGCTTCCGAGTACGCCATCAACGCCTCCATGTACTTGCGCTGGTTAAAGAGGAGTGCACCCTTGGCAATGTGTGCTGGCACGTACGATGCAAGCACGTCGATGACCTGGCCACACGCCTGCAGCCCGCGCTCGATGCTCTTGGGCTTCTTCTGCGCAAGGAAGACAAGGCCGGTCGAGACAAAGGTGGTCATCGCCCGCTGGCCGGCCTTGCCCACGCTCTTGAGCGCCTCTCGCGCAGCCTGCAGCAGCTTCTTCTGCTTCTCCACATCCCGTGTTGCCTCGGCCTCGGCAGCGTAGTACCTTGCCAGCGAGTTGCGAAGGTAGAAGGTAGTCTCGGCCGCCGCCGCGTCCACCGCCGTCAGCTCAAGCCCCTTTTTCACCACAGTCTCGTAGCCCTCGCGGTTACCAGCGTAGTACGCAGCCATCTGTAGGAGCATGAGTCACGTGGGGGGGAGGGGGAGGGGGAGAGGGAGGGGGGGGGGGGGGGGGGGGGCATGGCAAGAGGGGCCGGCATGGTGGCCGGAGAGGGGGGAGGGGGTGGGGCATGAAGAGGCTGACATCGTCGTCGGGCCAAAAACTCGGTGCCGCCGACGACGAGATCCGCGCGCAGGCCGAGGGGGGGAGGGTGGGGGTGGGCAAGGCAGCCGTACCGCTGTGTCCAGCCAGACCATGGGCTCGTCCTCGGCGTGTTCAAGAGCAAAGGCAAGGAGGTCAGAGGTGCTGGCTCCCTTGGCAGACATGCTTGTCCCGCCAGCCGTCACCGTGGTGGCCATGGTGCCGTGAGGGAGTTGGGTGTGGTGGCGGAGTGAATGTGCGACTCGGCGGGTGGAGGCTTGGCGGGCTTGGCGGCTGGCGAGTCGGCGGCATCTGTCATGCAATGACAGAGGGTTGGGCGAGGAACAAAAAAATTGTGCGAGCATCCTGTGATATGGTGTTCGGGGAAAGAAGCGCAGAGCGGCTAGAGAACCGTCCCTACACTTTCGAAAAGAGCCCTGAGAACTGAAGAGGTGGAAGTAGTGGCCGTGCTGCGCGAGTAGCGCAGCGGACGTACAAGGCAGAAAAATCGTCGATCTAGAACGGGTGGGAATCGAACCCAAGCCGGTGAGCGGGCGAACCACACTTACCGGCAGCGAAAAATTGTTATGAAGACATTTTATGAAACCATTCGGTGTCCACACGACGACCTCCGCACAAGCACGACCATGAGCCACTGCCTCTTCGGTCTCTGGGAGAGCATTACCCTGCACGGGGTCAACGGCACAAGGCCGTCGACAAATCCGCAGTTGTTCACGAAGTAACCGAACAAAAAATTGCACAGTCGCCGCAGCTGTGAGCCGGCACAACAATTTGCGCAACGATGCCGGCATTTTTGATCCACACTGGCCAGCCGGCCGAGGTGTGACTACTCACATGTAGGGTGCAACTGCCGCACCAGTCACCGCTTCCCACCATCTCGCAAGCGGCTTGGCCCGCTGGGCGCAGAGCCATGACGACGGTGGGTGAGGCCGGGCTCGGTGCTGGCTCGGCGCCGGCGAACGTGCTCCCACAGACGACGGTCCGCTGCGGGGAGGCGGTGGGCGTACAAGCCGGAATGGCGAGGTCTGCGACGCCGATGCGGTCTCGGGCGAGGTGAGATCCATCAGCTCGGCGTGCGGAAGCGTTATGGCCGCCGCGTCGGCGGTTGCCGACGACGCCGGCGGCAGGAGGTCGTCGCCGCCCCGCGGCGTCGCAACTGCGCCGCTGCTTTTGCCGCGCCCTCCGGTCTCTTCGTCGCCGGCCTCGTCCGGTACTCTATTCCCGGCACTCGTGCCGCCTGCAGCCCACAACGCGTCGAGCATGACGTCCTGGTCGCTGGGAATGCGTGCCATCGCGAGCAGAGCGCGGGAGGTCAGTGGACGCGGGAGGGTGTACGTGACTGGCCGCACAATGTCAGCCGGTGCCGCCGCCGGATCGCTCTCGAGCGGCGGCGTAGGTGGCGCGTCGACCGCGAGCTCCATCGGCGCCACCTGGGTCATCGGCCCGTGGGCCTGCGAGAACGGCGCGCCGTCGTCATCATCGTGAGCATCGTCGTCGTTACAGGCGGTCTCGCCGCCGCCCGCTCCCGGCGACGCTCCTGCCGCGCGCTCAGCGCGTCTGCGGCGGGAGGCCGGAATGACCGAGTCCAGCAGGCCGACAAAGAGCTGCTGCGTCGTCAGCTGGCTCCCAGCCTCGCCCGGCTCGCCCCCGGCTGCGGGTGCGGCAGCGCCGAGCGCCGCCGTCGGAATCGGCTTTGGGTCTCCAAACAGCATCGAGCCGTACGCGCCGACCGACGAGAACGCTGCCACAGAGCACTCGATGTGCTGCTGGTGGGAGACAAAGACAAAGTTGGTGATGTGCAGAATCGCGCCGTGGAGCGCAGGCAGCTCGCCGCAGTCGGCCGCCAGAAACGCCGCCACAGCCTCGCCCGTCAGCACAGCCGGCACATAGTGGTGTTTGTCCGAAATGAGCCCTGAGACCACTCCGGTATGTGTCGGCCCAGGCCGCTCCTCGCCCTGAGCAGAGTGCCTCGCCTTGGTCCGTGAGATTGATCGGTGGGAGACAAAAAGGTCGTCACTGCGTGGGAGAAAAGGTCGTGGTTTGGCCTCTGTTGCCCACCCTGGCGACTACCTCAGCCCTCCCCCCCCCCCCCCCCACACACACACACACCAAACAAGACCACGTACAAACATAAACTGCACGTATGCCGAGGACGGTACCTTGGGCCATGTTTGCACCGCGCCGAGAAGCCAGCTCTTCTTGAGCAGCGTCGCCATGCCAAGGCGCAACTCTCTGCCGCGCGAATGGTCGAGTGTGTGACGACGGCTGGCGTTCGGTCGGCCGAGGCTGGCGGTCGGCTGGCAGTCGGCTGGCGGTCGGCTGGCTGTCGGCTGACGGTCGGCTGACGGAGCAAAGTCGGCTGGCGGCTGACGACATAGAGGTGGGCTGGGCTAGGCGGGACAAATGGAAGAGACAAACTACAGCCTCGCTACCTCGCGCACTTACCCACAACCCCATTGTCACCTCTCGCACACGGTACTGAACACCATGTCTGAAGAGGTCTTCTCGTTCGACTCGTACAACCTGTTCCTATGCGCGCTCGTCACGTGGTGCCTCCAAATGACCGGCTTTGCCGTGGCGTACACCTGCCAGTTTGACAAGATCACCGACTTGCTGGGGGCGACCAACTTTCTCCTCCTCCAGCTCATGCTGCTGTTCATCAACGCGAGCTACTCGACTCGGCAGGTTGTGACAGCCATCCTCATCTCGGCCTGGGCCCTTCGCCTTTCGGGCTATCTCTTCCTCCGCATCCTCACCATCGGCGAGGACAAGCGGTTCGAGGACCGCCGCGACTTTCTTCCCTTCCTCGGCTTCTGGACCTTCCAGGCCATCTGGGTCTTTGTCGTCTCGCTGCCGGCCACCTTTATCGCTGGCATCGATGACTCGGACGTGAGCGTCAAGTGGTGGGACGCGGTCGCCTGGATCGCCTTTGTCATCGGCCTCGTCATCGAGGCCGTTGCTGATCAGCAGAAGTTTGCCTTTCGCAACAACTCGGCAAACAAGGGCAAGTTCTGCGACGTCGGCCTCTGGTCCATCTCGCGCCATCCCAACTACTTTGGCGAAATCCTGCTCTGGTGGGCCATGTTTGCCTCGGGCGCCTCGGTCTACCACGTCTCGCCCGGCACCTGGTCTGCCGTCCTCTCGCCCATCATCATCACCACTCTTCTGCTCTTTGTCTCGGGCCTCCCGCTCCTCGAGAAGGGTTCCGATGAGCGCTACGGCCACACCCATGGCTACGCCGCCTACAAGAAGCGGACCCCGATCCTCATCCCCTTCCCGCCGCCGCTCTACAACGGCTGCTCGCCGGGTCTCAAGGCCCTCTGCTGCTGCGAGTGGTCGTGGTACGCCGCCGACATGGAACTCGGCACCGTCACCTCGTCGACATCACTCACGTCGGATGCCGAGAACGGCAACGCCGGCGCCGGCGGCTACTCGGCCTCGTACGAGTCCATCAAGTCGTCAAGCTAAGCTCACTCACTCCTCACACTCTTCACGTTGCTCCTCTATCCCCTCCATCAGTCCGTGGCTGTTGTGAGAACCAACCAAGCAGTAAAGCTGTGTACCTCCCCCTCCCCCCCCTAATACCCATCCTCAACTATTGCTCGACTCAGTTTTGCTGATCTTCGCTCACGCCTGCACCCTTCCCCCTCCCTCGCCCCCCCCACCGCTCCCTACGCGCATGGCCACGTCAGAAGCATCTCGGCGCTCATTGTGGGCGTGGCTCCCCACCCACAGCGACTGGAGTGAGAGCGAGTGGAAGAGCCAGCTCCAAGCAGCTGCTGTTGCTGGCATCACTCACCTCCTTCACGACTGCAACGCGGGCAACGAGGCGCTCGACGACGACCGCTTGGCCCTGCTGGCTCGGGTGGCAGGCTGGGCACGCGAGCTGGGCCTTGAGTACCACGTGTGGTACCTGATCTTGCTCTGCAATCGGCCAGAAGTGCTTGAGGATTCTGATCGCGCCGGATGGTACGCCATCGCCCGCGATGGCTCGTCGGCTCGCCATGCCCCGCCGCACGCGGCTTGGTGCCACTTCCTCTGCCCGTCGGCACCAGACGCCGTCGAGTTTGTCCTGGGCCACGTTGAGGCGCTTGCGCTTGTGCCAGGCGCCGCAGGCGTGCATCTCGACTACATCCGCACGCCATCCAACCGTGGCGATGCGAGCAACGATGCCATCAACTACTGCTACTGCTCGCGATGCGGCGGGCCCGATGGCGCCGCCGCCGCGGTCCAGAGCATCGTTGCCCGCGCAGCAGACGCACTCGCTGTTCAAAACCGTCTCCTCACCGCTGCTGTCTATCCGATGCATGCCGACGCGGCCGCGACCGTCAACCAGCGCTGGCCGCTCTTCCCGCTCGCCGCTGTCCTGCCGATGGCGTATCCCACCTACCACGGCAAGACCAACGCGTGGATAGCCGACGTTGCTGACGACGCCCGCGCTGTCGTCGATGCCTCTGTCGCAGTCATCCCGGGCCTCCTCTGCGAAGCCTTTGCCTCGGCTAGTGAGCTCCGTAGCGTCCTTGCGCTTCTTGACAGCCACCTTGGCCCGTCCGATGGTATCGCCTTCTTTACCCTAGACACCTATCTTGCGCTCCTCACCAGTGAAAAGTCTTGACGGCTCCCTTGGGGGTGCCAGTCGCAAGAAGTTGTTCATTGTCCACAGCTCAGCACACACACAGAGAGAGAGAGAGAGAGTAGAGCAGTGCCCGGCTGCGCGGGAGAAGCGGCGCGCAAAGAGAACCAGAGCAACAGGCAGCCCGGAACAAAGGCAACCAGAGCAAAAGACGTCGCAGCATATTAGGTGATGATCAGGTCCGAGACGTTCACGTCCTCGTACGAGCGATCCGGGAGGTAGCGACGGATGGTGAGCGGGATCTTCCTTGCCTTGAGCTCCTTGTTTGCGATGTGAAGCGGATCCGTCTCACCATCAAGCTCGACCATGATAGGCGCACCCATCGAAATCTGCAGAGCGCGCGTACCCAGCACACGGGCCCTCTCATACTTTGTCAGAAACGGCGTCGTCTTGCGCTCTGCGGGCGTTGTCGGCTTGGCCTCGTCCATGTCGACAATCTCCATCTCTTGCGGGGCATTGGCGTCCATAGTGTCCTTCCTCTACCCTCTTCCAGACAACGCCCCGCATACACCCCACATACACCCCCCGTGCACTCCCGTTAGTCCCTTGCCTACCCCCTACCCCCCAGCTACATCGCACTCGCCCGCACCGCTGGGATGGCCGCCACCCCGCGTCTCCCCCACCACCTATATACCCCCCACCCCAACCCCAAACCCCCCATACCCCCCCAACCCCAACCCCTTCCCGCAACACTACACTCTCCGTACCTTCTCCCAAGCACAGGCTGCAGAGTCAAGTTGTCTCTCCCTCCCTCCCTCGCTCTCACACACACACACTCGCCCTCCCTCTCGGCTGCCACCCTCCAGGCACCGTCCGTCGGCTGTCGCTCACAGCTCGGCCGAGTCGCACAGTGCAGCATGACCAGCACGATTAGCACGACCACCACGACCACCACGACCACCACGACCACCACGACCACTACGACTTCCTGATCACTGATGATGGACTTGTGTAGAAATGGTGCCGGGCTTTACGATCCATCGTGTGGATGTCTGAGCCCAAGAGGGGGGAGGGGGGGAGGGGTAGCCAGCTAGGCCTTGAACCCGTTCTTTGTCGTCCGGACATAGGCCATGACTTCGGCGGCATCGTTGGAGTTGGCCTTGGCCATGATCTCTGGCACGCGGACGCGCATGAACGGGTTGTACTGCCGCTCCTCGCCAAGCGTCGACGGGATGGTTGGCTTGCCAGCCTTGCGCTGGGCCTTGCACCACACCAGCTTGTCGCTCACCGCCGAGTTCCCGCCATCAAAAGCAGCCGCAAATGTGAGGTTGCCCACCGAGTACTCGTGTCCGCAGAGAACAAGCGTCGAGTCCGGCAGCGAACCGATGGCGGCCTCGCCGTTGAGCGCGGCATCCATCTGTGCGCCGGTGCCCTCAAAGAACTTGCCGCAGCCACCGAGAAACAGCGTGTCGCCGCAGAACAGGCCAAGCGGGGCATCCTCAAACACCTCTGGCTCGCCCTCGGCGCCTGTCCGCCCGCCAAACACGGCACAGACCGGGAGGATGTATAGCAGATGCGAGGTGGTGTGGCACGGCGAGGCGCGGACCTCGATCCGGAGCACGCCGCCGAGATCGATGACACCGCCGGCAATGATCTGCGTCACACCATCAACCCGATCGTCGCCACCATAGACCTCCGCCTCGGGATACAGCTCCTTGAGCTCGATGTTGCCCCCAGCATGGTCCCAGTGGTGGTGCGTGGAGAGAATGGCCACCACCTGAGTGTTGGTCGCCGCCACCGTTTCGGCCACAGCCGTGGCGCCTGCGCCGTCGACCACAAAGCCCCGTCCAGTCGCAGCATCACGCACCACATACGCATAGTTGTCCTCCAGCACAGGCACTACATACACTTCCGCCATCGTTCTCGGCTTTGGCAACTTGGCAGCGGCGAGACAAGTGTGTCACCGACTTGATGGCGACCGGGCGACCTGTCTCTGCACACTTGACGTCGCCGAGGAGCCGATGTCTGTCGTCATCAACCCCATCGGATGGTGATCGCCCTTGCTATCTACCCCTTGATCGTCCCCCCCCCCCCCCTCTATCACCCGCTCCA